AAACTGGTATAGCAGTACAAGAAGCGACATTACAAGGTATTTCGTATCAATTTACAGGAATATATACAGTGAGGCAGCGGAATTTTAAAAGAAAAAAAAGGAAAATTTTATTTTTGATTAATTTTGAGTTATTTTAGTGTTTAGTGATTAAATTACAAAGAATTAAATTGAAACGATTTTAAGATTTTTCTGTTTATTTAAATCATTAGTTTTTTTGATTTTTTTATCCTTGCTTTTATATTATATTATAAAGTAATCATATTTAGTTTGAATTTTAAGAATTGTTTTTTTTAATCACTAATTTCTATTTGTCTATTTTGAATTTTTTTTAATTTGTAATTAATATTGATAAAGAATACAAATTAATTACTTTTCTAAGATCGATTTTATTTAATTTTAAAGTTTTTCATTTGTAACAAATAAAATACCATGTGCACACACCGAACTACTACGAATAACAACCAAGCAAAAAGTGTGCCTACAAAAGGGTGGTGTTATAATACATTTCGCGTTTTTTGAACAAATGTTCAAAAAGGTGCAATCCCAATGTATTGTGCATTTGGTTCAAGATTGAAGAACACTTTACACGACGGATCATGAAACGGCGAAGTGCTGCTAGGAAACAATTATTATTTAGGTCAGTAGCGAGTTCGAGGTGTATGGCAGATGTAACGAGGCAAACAAATAAGCAAATATACTCCTTGAAAGTACTTGCATTTCTTCCGTTATATAATTTCAATATGAAGGGCCCAGCGTAATCGCACCCAGTATTTTCAAAGGGATGTGCTTGTCGATCCCGCTCTGCACTTAGATAAGCCATGAACTGTTGTGTTGTTAGCTGGCGTTGACGGAAGCATTTGAGACATTTATGAGTTAACCTTCTTATTATATTTCGTGTTTCAAAAATTCAGTAGTTCTGGCGGACATGAACGCAAAGTGCAGACATTCCCGGATGACGATTTTTCTGATGTTCATCGAGTAGGATTAACGTGGAAATTCTATGTTCCTTCGGGAGTATAATAGGATGACAGGTGTTCTTGTCTAACGTTGAATGCGTAATTCTTTTACCGACACGTAAAATTTCAGTATCATCAATGAATGGGGCAAGTATGAGTAAGGTAGATCTTCTACTAAGCTCCATGTTATTTCTTAATTGCAGCAAATCTTCCTTGTAGCAGGTTTGTGCAAGTCGTAAGCAAATTAGTCGAGCTTCACTTAATTCATAAAAGGTAGATTGCTTACGGCCTTGCTAAACATATCGGAGATGCGTTTTCCTACGAAACCGTACGATGTATAATACAACTCGCAATAATTTCTTCCATGTTGAACCCTTTCTACCAATCCTTCTAAACTATTATGTCTCGCTACTTTCATAGAGACTAGGATTATCTTGGTACACTTCATTTCAGCGGTTACATCTTCTTCTGAATATGCGAGAAAATTATCATCGTTATTCTATAAAGATTTACCAGTAGTTGAGTTTGCTTGCCAGGGAGGTCCCTTCCACCATATATATGGTGGAACGTTGGGACAGCGCACTGTCCAACAAGTGGCCCCACTGAGTTGAAGGATTAGTCGAAGTAGACCACGAAACTACTTGGGTCCTTTTTCGTCCTTCGATTCTCGGATGTTGTTATTGAGTTTAAGCTGGAGTGGCTTCCGTTCGCATAACTACACCTCTTGTTAATGCAAGCATCTCATTTAGCTTGAGGTTTTCTGCCAAGTCATCACCAACCCAATGGTGTCCCAAGAGAGTCTTCCTCCTTCTAGACATAGTCTGCAAGTGTCTTCCTCAGCAAGAATTATCTTTTTAAGGTGATACTTGAAGTTGCCATGTCCAGCAATTAGTGAGGTCAGCCAGCTTAGAGTGCACCGCGAATAGCTAAGTACTTTTATCGCTTCCCTGGCGCACGGTTTCGGCAACATGAGTTTGGTCTATGTACAAGTGTTCAACTCTCTCCATCTATTAACTTAGTGGTATTCTGGGCTCTGGGCCACAGAAACTGTGGCTTGATTCTTGCTTTGCAAGTTCATCTGCCTTCTCATTTTGCTCAATACCGATGTGTCCTTTAACCCACATGACCGTCACCTCAGTTCCATGAGCACATTCCATGAGCTTCGTTTCACATTCTTGAACTAAGCCCCTTCCACCATAGTTCAAAGTCTAATAATTCGTGAGCCATCATGCCCCGAGACGCGCAATCAGCTG